ATGTTACCATTTAGATTTTGTTTCTTGATTTGAAATTATTTTCATTTTTAATATTTTTTAATGAAGTTTGAAAACACCAATATCAGCTTTGAAATGTTCCTCATCAATTGTGTCCAACTAAATGTTTCACCTTAACCAAACTGATGGTTTGGGGGTTACTTTTGCTTGAAAACTTAAAATACCATGTCTGGATTTGGAAGAGGAGTTTGCAAATGTAAAATGCTTATATGGCAGAAAAACACTTCCCTACATATCTCTAGTGGTTAGTGGTCTCTCCAGAGGACAGTAAAATACCTGTAATAAAATAAACAGTATTTTGAATATAGAAGTAAGGACAAATCAGAATGAGTGGTGTGACAATAATTAAGGGTTAGAGAAGTTGATTTATAATTTGAGCAGGGAATTCAGCAAGCTCTTTCATGACAAGAACAGTTTGACTGTTGTGCCCTTTCTTAAAGGATGGATGAACAATCTGGGGGTCATGGATATTTTCCTTGCCAGCTGTTTTTTATTCATCAGTGTCAGATTTACGTGGTTGATAAATAAAAATATAATTGTTTATCATATAAATCAGGTTAAAGCACCAACAACAAAGCAGCAATGCCTTTAGGGTAAGAGGGACAAAAAAGACAGAGGACTATTTTATATAATACGGTAACAACTTTCTTACTGCATCTTTCACTTAAGGAAGCTAAAACTGCAGCTCCCTGAAGCTGAAATTTCTGTAATTCCTGTCTGATGGGGAAGTGTTCTCCAGAAGTGCATTTATAGATCAAGTGTTACACAGGTTTGTTCTCCAGCCAATTGTATTTCAGTCTTTTCTATTGTTCTAGAATAGTTTTATTTCCTTTTACTGTCACTGTTCCACCAAGTGGCACTTAGGAAAGAGTCTGCCCCTGCCCCTGTGAGTGCTGTTATTTCTGTTTGAGTGGGCAAAAGAATCTCCATCAGCAGAATCATCTTAAACACTTCCCTGCCTCTGCTCACCTTCCAGAATACAGGTCTGCCTACTTGAAACTCGAATGGTCCTTCAAGTGTTCTCATTTGCTGGAATTACTTGAGAAGATCCTCTTTGGAGCAGGTATCTGGCAGTGCTTTGAGAGAACAGCCTGGCTGATCTCTCAGGTGGATTGACAGCTGGGATCAGGTTCTGCTGGGCTAAGGATGGAAAGTTCCTGGGGGCTCACTGAGCTCCTGTGCACAGACAGCTGGCAAAGGGCAGCCCCTGGCACTGCACGGGCCCCACTGCTGTCTGTGCCAAGGCTTGGCTTGAAAGATGTCGCTGAGTTTTGCTGTTTCTCATCCTGTGTGGTGGCCATCACTGTGTTAGGGAGCTGTCTGGGCAGCTTTAGATCACAGATCACCTTCGAGATGGAGTCCAGGTACAGCTCAGTGATTGCTTTCTGCTCTGTGCTGTGGAGCTTTAACGTGATTAAGAACTGGTTCTCAAATTCGGTGCCTTCAGTGTCTCATCCATCAAAAGCTTTGTAAACACCCTTGTGTTTTGTCAGTGATGTTTTTACTGCAGGATGTGTTAATTGTCACAGAGAACACCTGATTCCTCTGCTTATTTGATTCTTTCTGTCAACGAGTCAGAAGGAAGCTTGTTAAATTTCATCTGGCTCTGTGAGTAGCTGCAGTATAGATTTACATGTGTAGAGAATGTATTTGGTTGATCTAATAATTGAAGGCAGCATAAAATTTGTTTGCTTAACCAAAGGGATGTTCAGTCTTCTGAAAGTCCTGACTATGGTCAGCAACTTACTGAATGAATTGGAATGTGTTGGAAAGGATAAACTGAAAAATTGTGTCAAGTGAACTGTCTCTGGTATAAAACTAAAATATAACTAAAATACCAGATGGGGCTGTAAGGATAATGAGGGTATTTGGTTTTGTTCTCCTTGTGATGCCAAAAAAGGGGGTTAACCCCCCCTCTATCACTCCATTCAATTGCTCTATTTCAGTGGAGCACATTCCATTTCAAACAGAGCTTTGGATACAGGTAGGTCTGATTGTCACCTTCTTCATGAGTTTTGAAAGATTAAAAAACCCTGTCTAACTTTAAACCTAGAGTCAGGCTTTAAAGTCATTTCTTCTCCCCGTGGCATGCCACAATCATGTCAGGGGGCTCAGTTTGTGTTTTAAATCAACCTGCCAAGAATTTACACCTTTAAAGTTGCAAACTGTAGGACACCAAGTCTTAGGTGATCAAGATAATTGCTTTCCGTGCATCAAAGTGCTGGGCTGTAAATGCACACTGATATTGTCTCTGCAAAGCAGAGAAGTGGCAAGGAAAAATGTTTCATGCTAAATATTCCGAGCTGGTTTACAGGTTTCAGGACTTGCTGTAGGGGATATCTCTGTCAGATTAAAACAGTGTTGGAACTCATGAGGCAAAAAAAGTAATTTCTGATCTCTGCATGGTCTCTATCCAATCTCAACAGACAAGTCCAACCCAGAGCAGGGTAATTTGCAGGTCCTCTGAGCAGGGAGTCCTAAAGGACTTAGAGCAGGACTAGAGACGAATTAATCTACAACTGAGAAGATTTACTTCTACTCCATAACTTTGATTAAAAGATCAAAGCCTTTGTTCTACAAACTGATTTAGTGCAACAAAGGATGGAATATGTGCCGTGTGCTTAATTTAATCAGGAAAACGACTCTTTTAACTCCAGAAAGAGTAGGTATGTGCTTAAAATCATGTGCCTGTTCAAATTTGCTGTTGTTGATGGCTTGCATATTTAATATTATTACCTTAGTGCTCTTGAAATGGCCAAACTGGTAAGAACCCCAGCTCTGACAGCCACCAGTCTGGAGTCATTCCTGGCACTCAGGCATCTGCTCAGCCTGCACAGCTCCTGAGCTCATGCTAAAGTAAGAACACCAACAATTGCTGTCTCACTGCTCCTTGACAGAAACCCTTGGAAAATCTTGTCAGAAGAACTCTTTGTGTCTCAACAAAACCATAACACAGGTCTCCTGCTCTTAACCCCAGGATGCTTTAAGAAGGCTCTGGTCTTGTCCAATTGCAGTACTGTTGACAAGTGAAAGCTTTTTTTGTGCCTTGTAACGCCTTTAAAAGCAGCACAGACAACAGTTGTCCATATAGTACAAAACCTTTCCAACTGATCCTTGCCATCACATCTCTTTAGGCTTGTAGAGTTTGCCTGGTGGAGAATGGGAAATTGTTTCTATGGAAATCCAGAGCTCTGTTTGAAGTGGGACACAAAAAATTGAAATAGAAAGGGCTTAAAAAGTTTTTGAAAGCCTGGTCTGGGCTCATCCAGGCTTCAGTTATAAAAGAGAACCAGGAGAGAAGGACAAAACTTTGAGCCCTGCAGCACTTGCAAACAGAATGCTGGGGCACTGCAGCAATAGCAAGGAACAGAGAAAAACAGTCTATGGATAATAAAGAGCTTCTTTTGAAGCAGTTGGGTTCTCTGTCCCAGCAAAGTATCAGCTGGGGCTGATTTTCCTCTCTCTGAGATATCCTTAGCAACCTTTGTCTTAGAGTGATCCCTGTAAGAACAGACTAAATGACTGAATCAACCACAGAGTTCACTTTTCTCACCATCAAGAGGAAAATACACACAGTCACTGCCACAACCCCCAATTTCCTGCACTCTTGAGTTACAGTTCAAATGAGAAGTAGCTGATATAGCTTGGAACATACTCATTAGTGTCAACGTTCAGACTGGAACATTTCTATGCCCCATTTGTCCCAAAGATTCTTTGGCTGTAAACTGTCTTTTCATTTCCTTCTCATTTCTTCCTTTTTACTTGATACCTTTCTTTCTTTTGTTCTTCTGTTACTTCTTCCTTTTATCCTCTCTTCCACATACCACTCCCCTTTTTTTTTTCACTAAAACCTAAAAAAACCTCACTCTCAGCTTCTCCCAGGCAATTTGAGATTGTTTTGTGCAGTACAATCTCTGCCCTCCACGCTCTTCCTGGAAATCCTAAAGTACCTGGAGCTCTTCCTTCCTTAGACAGCTGCACAGAACATCTCTTCTTGCCCCTCTTGTTCTGCAAACCAGGCCACAATCCCTGCCTTTGATTTCCCCCAGAGCCTGTTTGGACACTGAAGAGCTTTAATGGCATTGAGGACTTGAAAAACGTCCTTACTGTGGTCAGGTCAATTAAGGTTTATTTGTACACTTGGGCCCTGACAACTACAGGGACAAACATTGTTTGTGCTACCTGAAAAACCATTAAAAAGCACAAAAAAAGCTTTCACTTGTCAATAATTCTGCAATTGGACAAGACTAGAGCCTTCTTAAAGCATCCTGGGGTTAAGAGCATGGGAACATTGTGTTTTTGTTGAGACACAAAGAGTCCTTCTGACAAGATTTTCCTTCTGTCAAGGAACAATGAGGCTGCAATTGTTGGTGTTCTTATTTTAGCATGAGCTAAGGAATTCTGCAGGCTGAGGTCTGAGCAGATGTCTGAAAAGGTGCCATTAATAATTTGTAACAGTAATGTGGTATTAAATTAGGTAATTATGCAAGAATTAAATATTTGCAAAAATTACTTCCAGGGAAAAAATGTTGATTGTCTGATGTTTGTCTGTACATGCAGCCAAAATTGGATGGTGTCATAAATGGAAAAATAAATTTAACATCAGTTTTATGAGAGTTTTATGAGTGAGAGTAATTCTAAGACAAAATGTTACTAGAAGAAAGAAACAGCCATTTCTTATAGGCTCTGGTCCTACAGATGTTCAAATGACTTTTTAAATACCATCTGGCAATCTTTACTTGGGGAAAAAATACAGACATTCTTCTCATAGGTTGTGGAGGATTTTTCTAGAGGTTTTGTCTTCATATTTCCTCCATTTCAGTTTAATATTTCCCCCATGCCCTTCCAAACTGAGTTTCCAGACAGATGAAATGAGGTGTGTTTGGCCCTGGTCATTGCAAAGGCACATCCATGCAAGTCTGCCTGGGGAAGGTACCTGTTCTGTCCCTCATCTTAGCACATGCCTTGAGTCAATCATGCACTTTTTACTCTTGATTTTATTCTGTTTGCCATCAAAATATAACAACAAAATTGTAGATATCAGTGAGATCCCAGTTAGGAAATTCTCATTATTCTGAGCCTTCTTCCTACAGGTACACGAACTGACTTCCTATAGCATTGCCCACAATGAATAATTTGAATTGGGGAAGAAACAATTACTGAGAATTTCTTTTTTCCAGAAAGGTCAAACTGAATTCAGTTGGAGAAAAAAATTTCAATTACTTAGCCCATGCTAACTTGCTGCTGTCTACATTCTTAGGATGGTGAATCTAGATTCAGCTGGTCCTAATTCCCCTTCCCCATATCCTCCCTTTTGGAATGTGAAAAGACAAAGTCCAGTCCCAATTCTCAACAGAGATGTAACTGGCATGCTGGGATTTTTGAAAGTCATAATTCATCTTTCTTCTTCAGGATGATTTTTCTTACGAGTTCTGTAACGTGAGGTCTTATTTCTTCCACGGTGACAGTGGAGTCCCAGGCCTTTACTACTTTCCCATTGGGGTCCACTAGGTATTTCCAAAAGTTCCAGGTTGGTTCTTCTCCTGTAGATTCTACAGGAAAAAAAAAAAGGGAAATATTAGAAGAGCACATTAGGCAATTCCTGACATTTGTTCATATCAATGTGATGATTACCCTCTCAGAGGAAGGAGGAATGTAAAATTAATAGGGAGTTCAGGCTGAATAAGATTCATTTTCTGACAGACAGGGAGCTTTAACTAGAAAGGAGCCCCCTGGGGACCAATGGGAACAGGGAAGCTTCAGACAGCCAGGAGAAAGCACTTTAATGGGTGTTACAGTGTGAGGGCGTGTGAGTGTCTGTGCCACCCAGAAACCTGACACAGTGGACTTGGGTAGGAAAATGGCATTGGCATAGCAGTGTAGCTGTGCCAGGACTGGTAATTTGCTGACCCAGAATTTCCCCTCCAAAAGCACTCCAGTGTCAGGTGCTTCAGAGGATTGTTTCAACAAATGCTACACAAAGTAACAAAGTAATTGTTGCAGGTTTCCTCCTACTCCTCACCTACTCCAGTTTTTCCCTCCCTGACCGCAAGCTCATTTTACACCAGTTGAACTTTCACCCTTTCCCATTCTGCAACGTGACTAACGAAACTGTCAGCGTTTTCAATTAGCCTGGGAACCTCATCCCACTAAAAGCACAAGTGCAGATGCTACAGACAAATTAGCAGCTTTTTCCCACTTGATTATACACTGAGCAAAACCTCACGAGGAATTAGAAGATGTTTCAAAGTACCACCAAGACACAGCCAGACTACACACTGTGCTGCTTAACTGCTGCCTCCAGCAGCCTCCTGCAGCCTGGGGGACAACAGGGAGAGTTTGGAGAGTTTGGAGAGTTTCACGTGGCATGTCTGCAGGAACAACCCTGCTGGGCAAAACAGAAATGGAAGGACTTGAAGAGGATTAAAGGGAAGTTTGGCTAGCAGAGAGATCCATCCCAGGCACCTGGAAGGAGGTGTACTTGGGACAGTCAAAAGCATTATCACTTCTCATTTAAATTCAGTGGTATGTGGGCAAACACTGCAGAGAAGCAGCAGCGTTGGAATTGCTTGCTTGCAGGATGGAGCTCAAGGGATTCTGTGTCACACGGGGCTTTATTTGATTTCATTGCTGGAAGACATTTCCTCCACATTGGGTTAAGACTGACATTTTAATTTAGCCTTTAAATGGTATTCAGAGCGTTTGTTCAGTGCAAGAAAAATAGTGCCATGGTAAAGAATATCCTGCCTTACAATGGATTCTGCCAGCTGGCTGCTAAGGGCCTGCAAAACTCTTCGGGTTCCGGTGCCATAAAGCAGATTGAAACTGGAGGAACTGGGCATGGCTATTCCAATGCTTGGGGAGGAATGAGGGAGGGAGTATTCAAGGACATCCTTTAGTGCCCAGTTTCACTTTCTGATTGTTGAAGTAAATTATGAGGTGCTTTGCTTCCACTTATGCTACAGCTGTAGAGATGAATCTCATAAATCCAGCCTGCAGCACTCATGTGACAGGAGGAGCACTTCGGAGGCTGCAAAGTGGAAGAAGGAAGGTCAGGTGGTGGGTGTATACAGGGGAATATTTCAAAATCTATATCCTATGGAGAGGTTTATTAGGTGAGCTTTTAACAGGACAACTGTTACTGATGTGTCCTCATCTCTGGAGATCTTTTTAGGAGGTCAGACAAAGCTGTCAGAGGGGACAGAGAGAGAAATCCTGCCTTGGGCGAGAAGGGCTCCGTGACTTCTGACCTCTTTGGGCCTGCCAGCTCCGGGAACACAATCACAGGTATCTCTTTTCTGTCAGCTGTTATTTTGTATCAGAGGAATTCTACACTGGAGAAACAACCCTGCAGCTTCCAGATTACTCACCAATCAAGTACTTGAAGGCAGGATTTGCTCCAGCCCCGCTGACCGTGGTTTTGCTGAACATGGGGAAGGAGGCACTGTACGTCTTCCGTGCAAAACTCTCGATTTCTCTGTTGCTGTCTGGTTCTTGCTGCCCAAACTGGTTGCAGGGGAAGGCCAGCACATTGAAATGGTAGGGGCCCAGGTCCCTCTGCAGCTGCTGCAAGGCCTTGTAGTGGCTGTCTGTGTATCCACACTCACTCGCAACATTGACAACCAGCGACACCTGAAGAGAGATTGAAAAACGTGCTAGACATGTCAGCTTTCCACCAGGTAGGCTGGGATGCAGATTATTTAAAAAGAGAAAGAATGCCTAGAGAACTGTGACTGAATACATATTTGAAACTACATCGAGTTCTGTTCACAATAGGAACATTTAATATTTCTTTCATTTGGCAACCAAATTCCTATTTGGCAACCATGAAAATAATTAATAAACTTCTAAGCAATTTTCAGTTTTCAGAGAATCTATATTTCTCCATTCTGCCCTTTGGACGGTTTCTTAAGCACATTCAAGCAGTGCCCATTGAGCTATGAAGGCTGCATGAAAGAAACTCGCAAATGAATGTATTTTTTGTTGTTTATCTGTTGTGAAGCATCTGCTCTGCAGCAGCTTTCCTTGAGCACAATTTAGTACCCATACAGAACTGGCTGATCCATTTATCATTGCTGGTTAAATGTCTTGACCTGGAAGTTAATAGAAGCAATTACAGGATTTGAGGTTGGTCCGTGCAGAATGGGCTGTAAAATCTCCCACCATTTCTAGAGTAAATCTACTCAGCTGTGATAAAATGACAGCAGGTTTTTTTCACAAAATTTTACTGCCTCAGTTAGAGATTCCAAAAAGTGAAGACTACCCAGATGCAGCTGGAGGAAGGTGTCCCACCCACGGGAAAATAAAGGCACGTGTGGAACAGGTTCCACCAAGAATCTGTTGGGGAAAGTAAGTGACCTCACCCTGAACCACACATATTCCAGTTTCTCAAAGCCTTGAGGAATTTTCCATTGGTTTTTTGAGATATTTTATCTTTAAATGACTTTCAAGTTGCTGCTCATTCTACATAAATTGAATCCGTTCTAATACTTCGATGCAAAATATAAAAGTATTTAGTGTCAAGTAAATTATAGTATTCAAAAAATAAATAGCTACATGTAAATAGGGGTTTTAAGGCCAGAAAACAAGCTGGCATATGAAAGCCTTTAGCTGGGGAAGGTATGGGATCATAAATGAAAGGCCCAGGAGGGGTAGGAATGAGTGAAGAAAAAGCTGAGATGTTGGTGTTTATAATCTCTTACATTAAAAATCAACACTTGGTGTATATTCTACCTTGTATAGGCATATTGCTATAGACAATCATAGAATATCCTGAGTTGGAAGGGACTCACAAGGTCCAGCTCCTGAAATTAAAGTGGTTTTGGAGTGGCACTGCTCTCCCTGGCAGACAGGAAATCTCCCAAAGCACAAGTTGGTGTGATCTCCTTTGTGGTGCAGCGTCAACAGAACACAATCTCAGCACTCCCTGGACACTTGCATGTGAAATATGACCTGCAGCCACCCAGCCAACCTCCAAAGCATCACTTTCATTCAGGCATTTAAAAGCTCTGCCTGAAATTTTAAATTCAGTTTCCTAAAACATTTGAATATGTGGTACATAAGTAGATTTTTCTTTTTGAGAGGATATAACAATTTTATGATGAATTCCTGTTGCAGACTGTCAGCATTTCAAAGAGAACTCATATATTGGCCATAAAAAATAACTATTGGCAGTTCTGTTCCTTTCAAATAATCTGATTTACCAAGCATAGTGATAACTGTAGCTTAGCATGAAGTAAAGATAAATTGTACCACTAAGAGCTGAAGTCACACATAGCTCTTTCATATGAAATTTGAGAAGCTTTTTAAAATATAGTTTAAGGCTCGGCATTTTCATGATGCAGAAGTATTCACATCCCTTATTGTATTCACATCTATTGGTAATTTATCTCAAATAGAATGGAAATGTAAGAATTTATCACTGGAGGTTTGGGGGAATAAGCTGGTGTAGGCATTGTGTTCCTATTAAAACAGATATGAAAGATGAAAGCAATCAAGCTTTTATAACCTCTACTTGATTTTAAGTAAAAAGAGGGCCTGAAAGAAGTCACTCAAAAAGAAACAATTTTAATTTACAGCTGTTTAAAATCTGTGGTTATTTGGCATGGTGGTGAAAGGCTTGAGAGATCACGGTGCAAACAGTGCAAACTTCCAGACATTCTCCCACAAAATAGAAGGAAATTACACCAGCACTTTGTACAGCAAACACATTATGCTTCTTTTTCCTTAGAAAAATGCATTCCCTGTAACTGAATTGTCCCCCACTGAACTCCATAATTTAATAGTGCAAACCTCCTAAAAGTGTAACTAACACCTATAACCAAAACTGTCAGGATTTATTGGTATTTCATATGGATAATTTAAAATGATTCTCTAAAAACCTTTACCAAGTTATCTTTCAAGTGTCTGGTACTAGAAATAATTATTTTTTTGGTCTATATTTTATTTTTAATAAATAACAGTCACTCTTTTTGTTCTCATGTAGAGGCTGTACTTTGACTTCCTACAACTATTAATGCTTTAAATGAAGTTCAATATGCTCTTGAGAGTGCAGGTCAAGCACACCACCTAGTGTGCAGTGCAAACAGTTCATCATGGACCTCACAGAAATCATTTCACTGAAGCTGAATTCTCTATTAGCTCTTGTCTGACCTCTCAACTCTATCCTGTCCTTCCCTTTGCTTAGAAAACTCAGGCAATTCTAGTACTGAACTCATTTATTTAACACTTCCTGGTTTATTTAACGTTTACACCAATGTGCTCCTGGAGGGAATGGTCTCTGGACAGATTTATGAATCTGGTCTCATCTTCAAGTAACCCTTTGTGGATTTTTCAGCAGGGATTTTAGACCTGGAGATTCTTAACTGGCTAGATCTGAGCCATAAGAGTCAGCTTACACAACCCACAGAGCTGTTACCTCCCTGGAAAAAGAGCAGCATTTGTGCAATAATTAAATGCTGTTCTCTGCATTTACCCCCACTCAGTAATACCCACTCTCAGACTGCAGGGAGCTGTGATCCAAAGTGCCTGGCATTACTTCCAGCAGTAAAATAATACTTAGGTGGTTGTAGTGCCTAATGCTTTCCCACGGCTCTAGTACCCTTGGCTGAGGGTTTCCAAAGGCACTGCACTGACACTGCTCAGCTCCACCCCAGCACACAGTGCTCAGCTCTGGGGTGCCTTGGCACTATTAGACCAAAGACAGGTCTAAACACAGCAGGGAACAGCTGATGCTTGGGAGTTCTGACTCCCAAATAGGTGCTATTTTTGGTCAGAATATATCTTACAGTGTATCTGACACATCAGAAAATGAAAGGTAAGATTCTTGAACCAGGGAGATAGATTAGATAGAGAACTGATCTTGTTTGGATCCTCTTCTTGTCCAGCCTCGTATCACTGCCCCTCATTTTTAACGTGGATGGGTCAACATCAGCATGGAAGCCTGGAAAAGCCATGGAAGGATGGCCTTCTCCCATAGCACAGTAAACCAGACAGCTTTGGGGTCTATTCCACTCATGATGCTCTTTCCTCAGTTGTTACAGTCACCCCAGCCTTTGCTCCCAGGTACATGTCACACAATACCTGATTTTGCAGCACGTGTGCCACACTTTTAGCATTCTGGCAATATAATGTCTTATGCCCCCATAGAAAGGGAGTACTCCCTTACATTTTTGCAGTATTTTTATTAAAGTGGATATTATGTCTGTGCACATTTATTTCAGAAAAAAAACACAAACTGTTCCCTAATATTTTTAATTTTTGTTATTGCATAATTGTTAGTCCATTTCTCCTGTACTATATAATGGAGAGTACTTTTTATGAAGATGAACTCGAATAGAAATTGATATAATATCAACCAGTCTTTTTTTCTTACCAGGAAAAAAGATGTTTCAATTATTTGAATACACAAAAATTTATATTAATAAGGAATTATTGAAAAATATTCTGCAAGCTCTCATGTTTTTATGTTTTTAGAATTAGCATACTTACTTCTTTTTTTCTTCTTCTTCTTTTTTTTTTTTTTTTTTGTAGTCTGGAAGCTTTTGGACTTTTTCAATTCCCAGTTAGTTTCTTGACTACCAATTAGGTAGCTATTTAACTAAATTAGTTGAGTGACTGAATTGAAGAAAATGTCTTTTCTACATCTGCCAGAAAGCTTAAGGCTGTTAAAAGCTGGTTTGGCAATTAGCAGACTATTGTTCCTGGAGGTAACTAGTGACTCACTTTCTTTAGAACACCACCAGCACACACGTAGTACTTTAATATTATTTGCTTTTAATAGCTTTAAAATATTATGATAAACCTACGCCTTAACACTACTTATTTAACTGCAGATTTAAGCAAATTTATTTTAAGGAATAAATGGGAGTTCTAATTAACTTTCTTCTATCTTGATACTGAGTTCTGACAATATAATGACAGAAAGGGATGTGTTTTATTGCTGCAATTTTCTTTAAAATGGTACAGATGCATTATCAAAGAGCAGCTGGCCTGAACATCCATAGGATGTCTGAATGCAAATCTTTTTATCCATACAGAAGCTGGTCATCACCTTTTAGGAATCAACTGCTCCGTGTGGCCTGGCAGAGATCAGGGATCACCATTCATCAGTGGTGTTCCCTTTTCCAAGGGACAGATCTAGAATTCTCCCTTATGAAACCAGTCCCGCCTCAAGGATGGCCTGGAATCACAGCACTGGGATACAGGCACAACCCCCAGCCTGCCTGTTCATGAGATTCCAAACCAGGCTCTGCAATTCCAGTGGGGAATGAACACCCACAGCTCTCTGTGGGGTAGCTGTAAGGAATTCTGAGTTCCCCCTTAACTCCTTTCCATGTGGATTCTGGCTCCCAGGTAGAGAAGCTACAGGTGGTATTTGCTTATTCAGATTTGCAATGACCTGTAGACAAAACATGCCCCAGTAGCAGAATTTATTGACAGAGCCTTTGGAAGGCACTCATTAGAAAAGCACCAATATTGCTCAGTATTAAACAGCTTCCATGGTTTTTTCCACTAGAGATATCTGAGTGGGCATGGGACCAGTTCTGCTGTATCTGGGTTGTGCGTGGAGGGAGATGAGAACTTGGACCAGGTAAGATTCAGTCCTGTCATTTGTTCCAGCTCCACCAGTATCCCTTTCTGCTGAGCTCAGGAAAATGTTCATCTCCCCACATGCCTTCTCTGCGTTCCTGCCAATGTTTCAGTGACCTGCTGTGCACCAGTGAGCTCAGACACCTCACTGAAGCACCTGAGGAGGGGAAAAGGAAAGTGGAAACACAATGCTGGAGATTAAGGGCGAAAGTGAGAAGAGGTGGTGCCTTTCTGAGCAGCAGGGAAGCTGTTGGACTGCCTGCTGTGTCACAGATGTGTCACTTGAGTGCTGAAGGGGGCACTTGTGGGATTTATGTTGGTTTTAGCTTCCGTAATTTGTGAGTGGGGCTATAAGAGTTTATAGCAGTAAGCCCTCAGTGTGCTAAATTCCCTCATCACTCTTCCATAGGTACTGACTATCTTTTCTACATGATCAAACCACTAAAAAACCTACCCTAAACTAAACTAAAATCACGTTATAGTCAAGGAAACTGTTTTAAAATGGCATGGAAAGCTCTGCCTAAAACTCCTTAATGTAATATGTAAATAAAATTTAAAAGACATCATAAAGTATGTGTGTGTCTACATGCCCTTTTTCACTTACTAAAAAGCGAAAGAGGAACAGCACGATGTTACAATGTCATTATACTCTGATATTACAATAATTACTTTATAATGTCTCTCACATTTTCACTAACTACGGTGAAATCTGTTTACTCCATTAGCCACTGACTAAATCCCTTCTTTTTTTTTTTAATGTAGAACATTAAAAAGGAATGGGATTTAAGTAAAACTAATATATAAGAACTCATGCACTTAAAAGGCAGAAATAAGCTCCAAAAGTAAGTTACACAAAGACGCAAAGTTCCCGAGCTTCCAAGTGAACAGCCACGATCCAGTGCAATCCATGGCGCTGCAGGAACGGCGGGCGGGCAGCATTCCCTGCCTGCCACGTCTACAGGCGGCAGCCGCCTCCGCCGGGAGAAGACGCGGACACACACAGGGGTTAGACTGCAAACATTTATTGACGAGGAGCCTGGATTAACTAGATAGCATCGCTAAACAGGAGTGCAGAGGTGTGGGGAGCGGCACCCAGGCAGCATGCGGGCAGCACTGCCCATCAGTTCAAGAGTGGTGAGGTAAAGAGTGATAAACCCAGACCTACACGCGACCGTGCCCCAAGTTTCTGTGCTCTCTCCCCCCTCTCGCCCCGCAGACATGCAAGGACTGGCTGTTAGTGAGCCTGGGCCAGAGCCCAGCACCGCGGCACTTACCGAGCCCCTGTACTTCTCCAGGGAGACTAACTTGCCCCTGATGTTTACAACTTTGAAAGTGTAAAAATCAGGCTCTTTCTGCCGCGTGGCGGAAAAGGCTAAGAGCAGGAGCGCTGCAATTGCGAGGAGCATGGCTAGAGGGATGAGCAGGAGTTTGGGGAAGGAAGGGGAAGGCTGGTGCTCCACACTGCCCTCCGGATCCAGCATGCTGCACGGCCGCCGCCGCTCTGCCCGGCCCGGCACAGCGCCGCCGCAAAGGACCGGCTGCTGCAAACCGGCCTTTTGCAGCACTCCCGAGGCTCTGTCCACACCAAACCTCGGCACGGGGCACTCGTGGAGGATCCACGCGCTCTGACATGGAGCACTTCACGGTGGAAGTGGTGCATTGAGTACCGTACGTGGTTTTAAAGTACTGGTTGGCTCGAGAACAGTCTGTGGGATGCCAGTCAGATATAAAGATCCTGCTTTAACTACGTCCTGGGAAAATAAGGGATGGAGTTGTTATGATTTTTGACAGATTTGCAAGTGCCTTTTTTTAGTGTACTAAGTATAGCATCTGGTAACTACGGTGTAATGTCAAAGGATACCAGTGGCTTGGTTGCTACTGGTTACTGCTGTGCGTGCTCTGAACAAGAGTCCCGGCTGACAGACAGCAAAGCCAGAACTACAAACACTCCGTGCCCGGCCCCACACGGAACACCCCCACAGGAGCCGGGCCTGCAGGCACTTCGGCTTTGCAAGCTCCTGGTTAGTGAGCAGCCAGTGCCCCAGCACTGGTCCTACGGTGTGACAGGGGGCAATCCACGCCACCAAAGGGTTTTAAGCAAGAAGGAGGCCTTAAGCCTCAGGAACTGAATTTGGTACCAAGGTTTTCCGACATGCAGAGCCCAACCACTGCTTCGGTGCACTGATGTCATTCTTGGGTTGCCTGCAGTAAAAAACTGCCTTTTGTACAATTTTACTCCCATGCCCGCTGGAAGAAAAGGATTTGGACATATAAAGTATCAACAATAGAAAGCATTAAATGGTCATTGATTTCTTCTTGGCCCAAGAAACTGGTCACCCATGGCTGGGACTTCGATAGTTCTTGGCAAAGAAAAGCAAAATGCAGTGATTTACAGAAAACAATTAAGTAGAACCTCCAAGGCATATTGAAAATCTATCTTTTGAAGAGCAAATTACATTTTGTCATCTCACTTGGTGATTTATTTTTTTTTTAACTGAGTTTTGGTAGATCTTTGACATTTTGATTAAATTTGCTTAGGTAATTCAAGCATGACTGGCATTACTGTAAGTGAAGAAGACATGTACAGCAAGTTGACAAATTTAATTATAGTTTTTGAGCATTTCAAATTTTCACATCTTTTTTATGTATTTCAGCTTAAGTAGACATCCAGCACCAAGAAATAATGGAATATGCTACAAAAATATATAGATGGAAAATCTTCTGCTATGCTGGGAAGACACTTGCTAAGGACCTGAAGTTCTTCACAGATAAGTTCTATCTCTCTGTAAACTTTCCTGCCCATAGTATTGACCAGGAACCTATCCTTGAGATGACAGTCAAGTATGATTTCCTCATTTGATAAGTAAATTATCTAAGAAGCTTTAGAGTTTCTTCCAATATAGCTAGAGACAGAGAACAGGGCCTTGATACAGTAGATACACTTAAATAGATGTTAAAAACCGAGTAAATCCTAAAAATAATTTTAAAAAATCATTCCAACAGTGATCAACATAAGCATTTTTTGGCCAGAAAATGAAAAAGAAATCCACAATACACTTGTACGTTTTTTAGGCATAATGTTATAGTAGTTTGGGTATGGGACTGAAAATGAGGTGTCATACTGCAGCAGGAGATAAGCAAGTTTTGCTCTGGAAAGGGACTTTATAAAATCTGCTTCCTACAGCTTGATCATTATTGTCTCTGATTTCTGGATAAAATTTGGTGGCTTTCAGGATTATATTTTATCCTACAAACCGAGCCCAGAATCTGAAAGGTTTTGATCACTGGCACTGAATTGGGAATTCTTTAAATAATGGCCAGCTGGCAGTAGAACTCAGCTTCCTCTTTTACTGCCATATTTCTATACTGCTCCTTGCAATAAAACATTCTTTAACAGCAGCAAAGAAGAAAGCATTGTTCCTGAACACAGAGAGAAGCCATGTCAAAGACTCTTGGCTTTCTAATGGTTCAAGTTTTGGAAGCCAAACTGAACTGACATTTCATATTAAAGTCTATCCAACTATTTGAAAGAAATATGCTAGTCAGGTTTGCAAACTGGTGTGTGTTTGCTCAGTAGCATGTCTAAATGTTGATCTAGGAGGACTGTATCCAGCAGCAAGTATAATTAGGTTACTTTTGCAATTTACTCTTTGACCTGTGAAACCCAATAAAAATCTTTGTCAAACAGGACTGGCTGAAACCACCACCCGGTTAACCTGAGCTGGCCCCATGGCAGCACCGCTGTTTCTGTCACTGCTGCCCTGGACTGCCCTGGCTCACGTTCCTAAAGGTGAAACCTCTGTAGTACAACCCTAAGTTATCCAATCCTAATTTTGTAAAGTGTGAACTTCAAGTGAACCAAAAAAAATAGCAGGTTACCCCTAGTCAGGATTGTGCTGACTTCACAATACATTCAGAAGTATGTCTCGTCAGTATTTATAGAATCCAGTATTACAGATTTTGCAACTTTTGTTTACCTGCACATACTCCCTGAGGCAGTGTTTCCAGCACTACAGTTCTTGTTATTTTTAATACTTTCCTTTGAACCCCTATAGCAGTTCAAGACTAATCTTTTACGTGCCTTGTTTTTCTGGAAAGGCCTCCTTAGCCTCAAGTGCCAACAACATGACATTGCCGTGCCAAAAAGGGGTAGTAGTGGCTCACAGAGGGATTTGCCTCAGACAAGCACTTGCCAGTGCCTTCAGGTCGCCGTCCAGCACTAAGAGCTGGCAGGCTGGCTCTTCTCCCTGGAGACCTGCAAATTGCCAGCAGACGTGCTGGCCAAGCCTCTGTCCTGGGCTGCTCCGGGGCCAGCTCCGTAGCCAAGGTCAGGGAGCCTGGAGCCACTTCCCCAGTGTCCTCAGGGCACACCTGCCCCTCTCCACCGATTCGAGAGGAGAGGAAGAGAAGGGGAAGCCTTGGGGAAGGGGGGAGCAAGGCCAGGACTGGGCGTGGGGCTCCGTGGAGCTCTAACCCAGCTCGGCAGGACCCGGGGTGCAGGTGCCTCATCGCTCTCCACGACCACCCGACGAGATTGTGGTGAGGGGCGGTCTCTTCTACCGTGCCTGCAGTGACGGGATGAGAGGAAATGGCCTTAAACTGAGACGGCAGATTCAGATTAGTTATTAGGAGAAATGAAGTCACTGTTAGGATGCTCAAGCATTGGAATGGTTGCCCAGGGAGGTGGTGGAGTCACCGTCCCTGGAGGTGTTTAGGAGGCACCTGGATGTGGCACTGGATGATGTGGTTCAGTGGTTTAAGGGTTACAGGGGCAGCGCTCGGTGGATGGTTGGACTGCATGATCCTAAAGGTCTCTTCCAACCCTGATGATTTTATGCGTAGGGAGAGGCCTGGTCTGAGAAAAGGAAAGGGTGTAAATTAGGATGGCTGTTGGGGGGGAGGGATTAAATAAAAACCGTGCTGCTTATTCCGCGTATTCCCTCATCCCCGCTCGCTGCTGTGGCACTGCGGGAGGGAGGCCCTGAACGCCGGGAGTGTTGAGGAGAGGGGCGCGTCGGCCCCTCAGCCAAGGGGGAGTTCTGAGGCACAAGAGCCTCCCAGGGCGGCCGGGGGTCCCCGGGCCGGGCCGGGCCGGGCCGAGTCTGTGGCAGCCGCCGCCGCCCTCAGCGCCGCCGCCCCCGGGGCGCTCCCCCCGCCCTCGCCCCACAATGCAGCGCGCGGCGCGGCTGACATGGCGGCCGGGCCGGACTGAGGCGCTGCCGTCGGGGCCTGCAGCAGCCGCGGCCGGGCATGGCGGGGGCGCCGCGCCCGCTCCGCTAGCGCCGCACGCAGGTACCGGGGCCGGGGGCTGCCCGGGGCGGGGACCACGCTCGGGTGGGGGGCCTGTCCGCGCCGGCGCCCCCCGCCCCAGCCCTGCCCCGCCTCGACGGCCCGCGGCGGCCTCGGGCCCCGCAGCCGGGCGGGGGGCGCGCCGGGGGTCGCGGCGCGGGGGCCGCCCCAAGGTCAGCGGGGGCCGGGGCCGTCCCCGGGGCGCATCCGGGCTGGGGCTGCTGCGTGCGGGTTGTTGTTCGCTCGCCCTGTGAGATAAAAGACTGCGGGGGGAGAGACCCCCGGGGCCCGCGGGGAAATGCCCCGTGTAGGGGCTGCCCTGGCCGGCCGTGCCCCCTCCACCCTCCGTGAGTTATGATGTGACGCCCAGGCATCCCTTCGCCGACGTGGTCGTGCTCTTTTGTTGCCTTATTTTGTGTACAAATACAGCTGAACGACTTTGCCGCTTTTGCAATAGGTTGCGATTTGCCAGCTGGCTGAATATGACATGTTACCTGAGGCCTCCTCGCTTTTGAGGTTCTTTCTGGGTATATCAGAGGGGGATGAACTCGTAACATGCAGAGAAACAATATAATCAGATTTAGGCTAAGGTAGAGATTAGTACATTAAAAAGAGATAGTTGTATCTAAGTATGGATCTAATAATTTTTTTTGTATCCCTGCCACCTCCATGTCACTTGGCTTCCTGAACACCGTGTCCTGGATTCAGGGGTCATTGCATTTGCTTCAAAATAGAGGATACATGTTGTTTATGGTTTTGTTTGAGCTGTGCTTCCAGTTTCAGTAGGTGCTCTTTGGATAGTCTGACCCCAGATAGTTATGACATAATTATTTCCGTGACAAGAAAAGTAAGCCAGCCATGGAAGTATGACTTAATTACAGTATCTGGCAGAAGGTGCTATATTAGGAGTAAGAGGTCTCTTTTGCAAAAACCAGTTTTGCACTGAGCTGCTTTAATAATTTTTCTACTTAACTTTACTGAAAATACCTTCATAAAATTAATTTTGGGATAAAATTGCAATTTCCCAGAATGTGCATATTGGGATATGTTCCCAGAAGATAAACACGGAGGGATCAGAAAGTTCCTTCTGTGTTCTGTTCTTGCACAGAGGACAGCTGGGACGTTTTCTCCCACCTCAGCTTGCAGTGGAAAAGAAACTGGTGGATGCTGTGGGACACCTGCACAGTTCAGGGCATTTA